GAGTTTGAGGTTGCAGTGACCTATGATGATACCCCTGCACTCTAACCTGGGAGACAGAGTGAGACTAAAAAAAAAAAAATTCACATAGTAAAGCATTTTTAAAAGTGCAGAGCATGTACTATCATCTGGTCATATGATCCTCACATTTATTAGTAGAAATACTCTTTTTTCTAAACAAAGGTAATCCCAATGTGTAAAATAAAATGTTAAAAACTGCTAATGTATATTGTTAGCATAAATTAATGTTTAATTAAAACATTAACATCTAATTATTGTACAGGCATTTAGTGAGTGTGTGGCTATTTTGTCAAATAGAAAACTTAGCACAAGGAATATGGAAAATAGCTTCGATGCTTCAGCATTCAGTTTAAGTCTGAATTTTGTTTCAATTTATAACTCTTGAGGAGTTCTTGATTAACACAGACAAGAAATTATAAATTATAGATAAGTAATCTTTTTGAGTAAATAAAAATGGGAGCAGTTTGTCCTGAATGCTGCATAAAAATAAGTTAATTCAGTAATGGCCAGTGTGTTATACTCAAGCATATTCTATGGGTGAGTGTATGTTTATTACAGTTCTTCATATTTAAAAAATATGTTTTAAAGATTATGAAAACATTTAAGTAGAACCTTGGAACAGCTTGAAAGCCACTGCCCTGTCTCATTTAGCAGACATGTTTGCTAGGTCAAAGCAGCCCCAATGACCTGTCCAGTACCTCAGCAGGGGACAGAGGACCCAGGCTGACCTTGGCTAGACCAGGTGGCCTGTATGTTTCTTCCTACCCTAAAATTCTGTGATTCTAGTATTCTGTGTTTAGTGGGGAGACTTGCCAACAAGCCTGATTCTCCTATGATAAGCCTCCTCTTCATTCTACTGGTTGGGCCATTGTGTCCTTCTCTACATTATGAATCTGTTATGAAATGAAATTTCAAAGTTATATTTTCTGAAAAGGATAGATGTCCTTTGTTTCAAATTCTTTTTTTTTTTTCTCTCTCTCCTATTTTAGTGATGTTTGTGTGAAATAGAGAGCTCTGGTCTTCAACAGCAAGGATAGTTAGTGGTTCTTACTAATACAAACTGGTAACTATAAGGTGAAAATTTACAAGGGAATGCAAATTGGATTTTCATGGCCAGGTAGGTCAATACCCTATGCCTGTGGTCCCCAACCCCCAGGCTACAGACTGGTACTGGTCCAGGGCCTGTTAGGAACAGGGACACACAGCAGGAGGTGAGCAGGTGGATGAGCAAACAAAGCTTCATGTGTATTTACAGCCGCTCCCATCACTCCCATCACCACCTGAGCTCCGCATCCTGCCAGATCAGCAGCAGCATTAGGTTCTCATAGTGCAAACCCTACTATAAACTACATGCGAGGGATCTAGGTTGCGGCTCCTTATGAGAACCTAATGCCTGATGATCTGGGGTGGAGCTGAGGTGGTGATGCTAGTGCTGGGGAGCAGCTGCAAATACAGATTATCATTAGCAGAGAGGTCTGACTGCACAATAAATGTAATGTGCTTGAATCATTCCCAAACCATCCCCTGCCAACAGGTCCATGGAAAAATTGTCTCCCATGAAACTGGTCCCTAGTGCCAAAAAGACTGGGGACTGCTGCCCTATGCCACCCTTGTTTGTATTCTGTTTCCCTGACATTTTAGCTTATATCCAAAAAACCTGGTTCGATTTATTGATGGCTTTGAGCTACAGCAAGGAGGAAGACAGACACCCTCATATGACATGGATTTCCAGCCATCATAAGATACAGACAGTTTTGTTAGTTACTATCTGAATGGCTATGTGCCAACTGTGTCACTATTACCAACTTATTTGAGGCAGGGATTTTCCAGTGTTCAAGTAGATACTTCCAGTAACTTTCTTTAGCAGTCTAGTTCACAGCTTAGCACAGGGGTAATGGCTCTGTTAACTCGTGGAACCCATAGGAGGCATTAACAACTCAAGATTAATATTCTGTAGCAGCTGCTGTTGAGCCATGGGTTTATTGCCTGCCCCTGCTCAGGATCCCCAGAAGCTTCTTTATCTTAAAGGGAATAGGCTGCTTATTTAAAAACACAAGCTGAACAAATTGAAATTATACGGTGATTTCTTTGTAGCCCTCAACCACCTATAAAATACAGTCTCAAAGATGGTAACCTAAGGCTCAAAAGGTGGAGCCCCAGGCTCCTAGGGGCTTGCAGGGATGACTCAAACAAACCCAGAGTTTGAAAGATGGTCCTGGGGAAATCCTGGCTTATCAGCTCATGATACCATGATTTTAGATGCCCTTTCTGGTAACCAAAGAACATTCTGGAGGCCTAAGGCAGAGTGAGCTACCAGATTAACTACAAGCTGTCCAGAGGAATTTAAAGTCCTCGTCCCTTGAGTTTGAATTGGGAGAAAATCATTTGTCATACCCTCTTGTTGCAACAGGAAGAAATGGGAGAGGTTGTAGCGCCAGGGCTTCCAGCAGCGTTTGTAGGCAATAGGTAAGTGAGAACGCAAAGATTCTGGGAAATTGGAGCTTTCCACGAGTATAGAAGTGGAGTCCAAGGTGGTATTAAATGACTTCTTTCCACCGGTGAAGAGCAAGCTCTCAGGAGCCACCCAGAGCCGCGTCCCCTCTCCCCTCCGCCCGTCCAAGGCCTGCCCCTCACAGTGAAGGCTTTTGCTGGTGGCGTCCTTGTTCACCACCATGTTCCCTGGTTCATTCGCCTCTTTGGTTCCACCTGATCACTCTGCTTTTGAGTTTTTGAGCTAGATAAAGATGTGCTCAGCTCCCAGTGCCTGGCTGAGTGGCCTCGGGCAAGTTATTTAACCTTCTCCTTCCCTCCTCTATTAAAATGGCAATAAATATTTTTCACCCTCATAGATACTCAACAGATACCACTTTCCTTTCTTTCTGTTGCTTTTCTTGGTGTTCATGAGCATCTCGGTAGAGCTCTCTGAAGCAGGAGAGTGTGCTTTCCTCCTGGGGCCTACAGTGACCGAACTGCTACCATCAGTTGTCCAAATCGGATCTGTGACTCTCTTTCACTTTGGCTTTCATTCTCTTTGAACAAGGGTTTGTTTCGCTCTTCCAGAGGAATGCTTTTCTTTTTACTTCCATATTTGCTGCCATTCCACATTTTTTAAAGTATATGCAGGCCATTCTCTAGCTAAATAGCATTCCAAGGAAGCTGTTGTTTAAGCTAGGAATGGATATCATCTGTTTGCATTTCTTTGCATTCGCCCTCTATGTTATCTTTAACTTAACTTTCAATAAAATGTAATACGCATTGAGCTCCTTCCATGTGTCAGATGCTTCTTACAAACATGAACTCCCTTTATCATCATAAAACCAACCCAGTAAATTAGGAGATATAATTGATAATTAGTGTTGCTTATAAATATATACTGCCACTTTAACAAAGTGTTTTTGCTGTCAAAACATAGGGACACTGGGTCATTTTCAAAATTCCTACTTTCTCTCAGTTATCCACACCTGCGGAGGGCTTATTCTTGAGTGGCTGCAGCCCCAGGCGCTCCCTTCCACCTGGAATCAGGGAGTCAAATGCAGACACAAGGCCTGGGAGGAAACAATCAGCTTGTTTAAGTGACAGCTGACATCAGGAAGCCTTTTGAGCCAGAGGAAAGACATGATGACAGCGGTATCTTGGGAAGATAAATTTCACAACCACATGCAGGACAGATTACCTGAAACCACAACATTTAGCCTTTATGCTTACACATCTGGGGGGCATGATTTAAAAGCTCATAAATATGATCTGGGTTTTATAGAAGGGACTGGTGAAAATTGTGAATTTCAAGGTTCCACCAAAGAAGGTGAAGAATCGATGTTTATCCAATTGGTTTACACGTCTTCAATATTTATGTACACAAGTGCGTGTTGTTAGTGCAGTCACTTGGAAGCCATGTTTGGGCATCAGATCTGCCATTGCCCTATCTTTTGGGTTAAAGTTGTATGAGAAGGGAAATTTTCTGCTAGCTTGAGAATTATACATCTGGCTGCCACCTGAATTATTGCTGTGGAACACACTGAGTTTGACAGATAATCCTGTTCTCAGCTATCCTTCAAAAGAAGCATGAAGGAGCCTTCATGTTTAAATATTTCAGCCAGATTTCTTCCTTCTGACAATGCATGGAACACAATGTCTTTATTTCTTAGTGAAATAAATATTCATAGCGTATGCATCTGTGGTTAGAAAAGAGAGTAATAAGGAATTATCCTTATTTAAGTTCTTAGTCATTCTAGCCCCAAAGAGCAAGCTCTTGGGTTCGGAAGTGACATCTCCCAAGGAACCTGATGTTTTTCCTGGAGTCATAAATACTTCCCAATTTGGCAAACCAGTAGTGCCCATTCCCAGAATGATGAATGAGAAAAATAAATACTATTTCAGTGAACAGTTTTGGACCTAGGAATTCATTATGGGAGGAAGGGTGGTGTTACAGACGTCCCTTCGCTTGGGTGAATGGACACGCAGGTACTCCAGGGGAGCAGGAGGATAAAAAGAAGGTAGAGGAGATGCTGAAACAATTGCATCAGTCCTCATAGGAGGGAAGGCCTCGGACTGCGCATCGAGCCCATGTGGAAGGGTCTGGGGAAAGGCCAGAGAGCAGCCCAAGAAATGTAAGCAAGTATGCCGGCCCTTGGTCAGCCATCTGCCAGGCCCTGTTCTTACAGGGAGGGTTTCTGCTGTCCTGAGGGACTGTGTGACTGGCAGAGGAGAAAGAGCCTGAGCTTTGCAGTCAGAAGGCCCTTCCTTCAAATCCACCCCCACCACCATGCTATGTGAGCCTTGACATATTACTTACCTTCTCTGAGCATCAGCAAAATAGGGATAGTCGAGGGAATTAAACAGGATGACATACGTAAGGTGCCAAGCACATGGCAAATACTCCAGCCATGAAAGCTGTCACATATATTCACGAGGCTTCCTACTTTTACCAAAAACCTGTGTTCTTTCCCCATTTTATATCAGCCACAAAGAAAGAACATGCAAAAGGCATTCAGGGTTTTTAATTCTTTGGCCAAAGAATGGAGAAAGGTGAGCTTGAGCTCTAACGGCACCTTCTCTCCAAGCAAAGGGGGGTGTGGGAGTTTTAAAGTTAGGTGTGGGAGGGAGGAGGTGTGTGAGCACGCACATGGTGAAGTTTCAGATGCAGTTCACGGACATGCTTTTTCATACACTGCATATGCATCGCAGTTTTCACTCAGGGGAGTGATTTTTAGTATTAGAATGATATGATAATGAGCTAAGGGCACCTGGAAGTGGCTTGTTCTGGTCTGTACCGGCTGGGCACAGGACTGGACTTTTGGCCGCCAGCAGGAGGTCACGTGGCCATTTGTAGTATTTGGACCTTCTGGTGTCCTTGAGTAGCTGTCTTTCCAGATAGCAAATACTAAAGAAAAATTGCTAAAAGAAAGAAAAGAGAAGGAAAAAATTGTTAAAAGATTTTCCATTCGCTTTGTCAAGCCATCCCAGTGACACTACTGCCAAAATCCCTGGGAAATGCTTGAATCCTGCTTGTGTCTGTTTTCCACCTATGGTTCACCTGAGACAGTGGGCCCATGTGCCTGAGCTATCAGCTGCACTCGGCGGCCTCCCTTGCTGTTTCTAAAGTGAGCATAACCCATTTCTAATTTTTGAGGCTTTCCATAGCTGGTCTCCAAGACAAACCAGGAAAGACTAACGAAAGAAACACATTTTTAAAAAATAGAGAGAAAGATAACAATGTTTTAGGAAATCTCTGGAGGCCTTGATCACCACTGTCCCAGCACATTATCGAAGTTCAAATAGACGGCCATGGTTCACCAGTTACAGCTCCGGCTCAAACGCCACCTTGAGAGTCGTGTGTAAACAGAAGTGAGGTTTCAGTGAACCATGCAAACAGACCGGCCTCCTCTCCTGGTGTAGAACTAACTGTATGTAACTGCGAGAAGGAGGACCCCATGGCCAGATTGCCAAGGGGACGGGTCATGTCATCGAAGGGAGGCAGTGCTGTCTCAAGGAGAAGGAAAGGCACCCCACTGTTCCAGCCCCCGCCTCACGCCAGTTCTTAACTAGGTACCTCATTTTCATGTTTCATTGAAGCCTCACAAGAGACTTGTGAATGCTCTCGTTTTACACATAAGAAAACTAAGGCTCAGAAAATGATGCTGCCGGCAGGTGTCGGGTGCATTAGGAATGCTCTTAGGTGAACATCCAGGTATGTGCCTAGAAGAAAAGACTTTTGAACATCTGGGGACACAGAAGAGAAGTTTTTGTTTCAGATTGTGGAAATAGAAAGAGAATTAAAGATATCTAAACCAGGAAATCTAAAGGCTTGGGAGGGCTGGGAACAGAAAAAGGTTTAACCACTTCAGTACGGCGCTCACCGGCCGCGAAACCTGGCCCGCGGCGGCACTCGCGGTCCGCGCGGTGGCGTGCGCTGCGCATTGACGACGGACCCGTCTTGCTCTTGTGTGATGGGGAAAGCTTGAAAGCACTGAAAGCTTGCTTTACTTTACAGGCAGCTTTACTTGTAATGTAAATCAGAATAGGCAACATTAACATATGTGTTTTCATTACGTTATTTTTAAATGTTCACAATTTTATTTTGATAAATGAAAATTTAGAAATGCCATATCACGGCTGTCGGCTCAAGTCGACGCTCGGCTGTGCGCCTTCATATCACAGCTGTTGGCTAAAGTCGCTGTAAGCCTTCATCTGTGGCTGTCGACTACAGTCAACGCTCGTACCGAAGTGGTTAAATCACAGCAAGTAAACTTCAGATTCAAAGTCAGTCCTTAGCAGTGCTCCCAGCCACTCAGGGCTTTTCACTGGCTCTCCACCGTCTCCTAGGCTCTCTCCTCCCTTCCCTTTGTGTCCCTTTCCTCTCTGTCCAGCCTTGGAAGCAAAACTGGACTTTTCTATTTAGCTACATCTCAGTTTAGCCACTGTCTCTATAGCCTTCGTTTCTGCTGACCCCCAGCCTCAGGGTCCCACCTCCCATCCCAAGCAGTTTATCCAGGTATTTTCACAATGACAATTTGCTCTCTAAAAAGAGTTGCTATTATTCTAGCTGGTGGCTAAAACCTTTTTTATGTGGTTGCAGGAGCATAGTAAAAAAAAGAAGAAGAAGAAGAAGAAGAAGAGGAAAGAAAATAGAAGGCATTGCAGTGTCAGGAAAAGGAGTCTAGGTAGAAAGTCTTCTCTCTGGCAACTTAGAGAAATCACATCCCCTCCTGGGACTTGGTTTCTTCATCCATGAAGCAAGGGGCTGGGGCTCCCAGAGCCTCCCCTGCTATCCTGTACTGGGATTCTCAGGAGACTATATCTGTGAACATGTCTTGTCTCTACCCTCTTCCCCCATTAAAAATCTCACAGAGGAAAGCTTTCCAAAGGCATTATTTCTTTTCAACTTGAAACCAAAGAGCGATATTGTTGTATTGTCTTTGTTTTGGTGGGATGGGAGATTAGGTTGTCCTTTGGGGGCTGGTGTGCCACTTGAGGAAAGAAAAAAAGAACAGAGTAAACAGTAAGTGATCTAAAAGGTCAAATAATCCCACATTGCAGCAGCCTCAGTCTTCTAGGCTGCTTCTGAGAAAGAGAAAGAACTGGCTTAAAACTGGCTGCCAGGAAACCCATGAAAAGCACAAACGTCCTTCCAGTGTGCTCATTGACCCGGAACAGAGTGTAGCGGTGGGCGTTATCGCGTGGGCTGAGAGTGGACAAAACCAGGGGCCGGTGCCAGCTCTGCTGCTTGTTGGCCATGGTAACTTGGGCACGGTTCTAAGTCTCCGTAAGACCCAGTTTCCTGCTGAACAGAATTGCTCTGGAGATCAGTGAGAAGAGGGACATAATGTCCGAGCAGTCCTAGAACATAGTAGGTGCTTGGTGTGGAGGGGCCAAATTGGGTTACAGCAACTCAGATTTGCAGGGTGCTTTATGACCTCAACCCTTCTTAAGCACTCTCTCTCCATCCTCCCAGAACCTCGGCAGACAGGTATGAGCAACACCATGTCACAGACAAGAGACACACCCTCATGGCATGGCCGGTACTAAGGCTCAAGTCTTTTGGTTCAGAAAGTTCTGGGTTATTTCATTTGCTTTTGGGCCATTTCCAAGTGACAAAAGCCCATGAGTTAGGAAGGCAGGAAAGGGACTGCCAGCTGCAAGAAGTGGCTTCTGACATCCAGAGGGCAGGCAGCAGAGTCCTTCGGGCAGTTGGAATCACTTAATATAGAGGGTGACAGTCCTTCACAACTCAGAACATCCCTGAATCCGGAGTAGGAGTCAGAGAGCTAGTCCTCAGGCCAAATCCAGCAGGTACGCTGAATCTAGCATGTGAGCCCAGTCCAGCTGCCGCCTATTTTGGTGAGTAAAGTTTTACTGGGGCAGCCACAGCCATCAGTTGTCCCTGGCTGCTTTCGCACTGCAGTGGCCGAGCTGAGCAGTGACAGCAGAGACCTAAAAAGTCTTTTAGGTCTGCAAAGTCTAAAATCCTCTTTCTCTGGCTCTTTGCAAAAGCAGCTCGCCAACCCCTGGTCCACAGCAGCACTTCTCAAACTTGGTGTGCACAGGGATCGCCTGAAGATGCTGTTAAGGTGCGGATTCCGATTCAGCGGGCCTGGGAGGGGCCCAAGATTGCTCAAAAGCCCCCAGAAGGCGCCTGTGCTGTGAGTCCATGACTCATGCTTTGAGTAAAAGGGAGCTAAAGAAGATGAAATAATGCGTATTATCCTTGATTTGTATTTTTTTAAAAAAAAAACCCAAATGAGGAGTATAAAATAGACTTTAGAAAGATTCCCATCCAAAAAGCTAAAATAAAAATATATAGGGTTTTAGAGGAAAATTCCAATGAAAGAGGGGAATAGAGAGGACTAATAAGATTAAATTCAATGAATTAATTAATGATATTAAAAGGCACACTCAGATCCTTGCTATAAGGTGACTCTGTCAAAGGCCTGCCCGAAGAACACTGATAGTCTTCCAGGCTCCCAGGCCACCAACCTCAGTCTGCCTCACTTCTCCACCTTCAGTAACCATCACCTCCAGTCCGACTGGTCATTCTTTCAGCATGATGCTGGCGGGCCCTGGCCCTCCATCCTAATCCCGTCACTCTGGTCCAGGCCCCCGTCCCTGTGTGCCCTTCTTGCAGCTGTCTGTGTGCTGCTCAGCCTGCAGCCTCTTGCCTCACCAGCCCGCTGCGTGTGTCTGCCAAGCGCTCTGAAAACAGCTTTCCAGCACGCCCTTCCCCACTCGAGAGTCTTGGGAGTCAGCCCGTGGTGGGGCCAGCCTTTGCTCTCGGCATGCCCTCCCACGTGCCCGTCCATCCGCTTAGCGTCCTTGGAGATCACCCAGTGACATCCAGAAAGCCCAGATAACCCCCAGCGCTGTAACTCACACAGATTTTTAAGTGTTTTCTTAAACATTCTGGAAATAGAAGACCTGATTATTCCACCCACATTTTCCAATGTTCTATAAAACCATTTTAAGAAATGAAATCTTGTTTTAACAACAGAGCAGAAACCCGCGCATAAGAGCACAATAAACACGCTCTCAGCCTGAATCTCTGAGTCCACCCTTCTTGTATTTCTCACAATCCTTTAAATGTTTGACCTCTGGCTCTTGCCCCTCCACTAGTTGCTTAGGTGAGTACCTTTTCCAAAGGCTTATAGGTGCCATCTTGTGGAGAAAAATGCAAACAGGCACGTTTGGAGGTCAGCTGTGTTAAGGAAATGACAAGGATGCAAGCATGAGTCTCCATCACTGCCTTCTGGCCTGGGGACAGTCCCCCAAGGGCCTTCCAGTTGTGACCTACTTGTGTAGACCCAGGCTGTCTGTGCTGAGCAGGACCTGCAGTCGGACCAGCGTGCAAGCAGCCGATGTCCTGGAGCAGGGCTCATCAACCCAACTTGCGGTTGCCTTTTTGCCAGTAATCTGGCTTCCAGAACTCTGCCCTATAGTGTGTGGACAGTGTCTCTCTGTTCCTTTCTGCAGGAAACATCCTAGTCCTGGCCCTTGGCAGCCCAAACCCACAGCCTCTGACAGACCTGTCCCATGTGATTTTTTTCCTAGTGCCAGCCCCTCCTGGGACCCTAAAAAATTATAATACAATCTGGCCAGATATATGATGGTCTCTTTAAACAGAATTCAGCATGCAGCCTTACATGTTAAAAGTAAAGTGGAAGTCCAGAGGTTTCTACTATATCTATACAAAAACATGGATATCTTACTTTTATAATAGAACAATTATCATTGTCACAAGTCATTCCATGCCTCTCTCCTTCCTCCTCCATTTCAATGTGTTGGGAAAGAAGATTATGAAAGTAGCACTAGAATTGTGGAATTTGGGATACCAGCACCCTTCAGAGAAAGATAGCCCTGGTAGGAGGAAGGGGCAGTAATTCTCTTTCAGAGTATGAGGTGTCTGCCTCTCAGGGCTCCTTTCTTCAGCTTTGTAAACATTGCTGCAGTTGATTCTTACCCAGTTTTATCCTACAAGGGTGCCAACATTTTCTTCCAGTTGAGTCCCTTGGTAAGGTGCTATTCTCCAATGAAATAGGATGAGACACTGTCAAGTGACCCCATAAGCTTTATTAAAACCAGATCACTAGTTTCACAATTTCTTTCATTTTGAGAGCCAAAATACCTTTTATCCCATGGACCATTTCTTCTCTTTAAATGAATGGTGTTGTCAATATGTTTCCATTGATTCCTGTTTCCAATTTAATTTTGTCTACATAAAGCAAATTTCCCCAACTTTAACATGGCAGGATTCTTCACATCAGGGCTTGATGTCTTTTTCCAAATGCAATTTGGTACCTGAAGGGACCTAGAGATGATCCAGTTCAAAGAGCAAATTAGTCTTATAACTTTGATCCTTTGATTCCTCAACCAGCTGCTCTTTCATTCAACAAACACGTAGTGAGCACCTACTGTGTGCGGGCGCATGCTCTGTGCTGCACACAATCCTACCCATGCTGAAGTCAAGCCAAAAGGCAATTCTAAAGAACTCTAGATTCTTTACTAAAGAGTTTGGGGCAGTGAAGAACTGTTTTTAAAAACTGGATAATTAAGTACCCTTTGCCCATAGCTTCTCTGACGTCCACAAAGACTGCGTGTGCCCTTCTGTGGAATTGCCGTTGCTTCCAAGCGTTCTGGGAAATGTGCCGTGCGCTCCTAGGTGCCCCATGAGCTGTGGCACAAACTAGAGCAGTGGTTCTCAACTGGGGGTGATTTCGCTCCCACAGGGGACATTTGTCAGTGTCTGGAGACATTTTTGTTTGTCACACTGAGAGGAAAGGATGCCCCTGGCATTAGTGGGTAGAAGCCAGGGGCGCTGCTGGGCATCCCGCAGTGCGTGAGACAGCGCCCACAAGAAAGAACCTTCGGGGCCGCCATGTCGCTGGAGCTGAGAGCCCGGAGCCATGAGGGAGTGGAGCAGGCAGGAAGGTGAAAGCTGGGCTTCACACCTGACAGTCCCTTCCACCAGAGCAGCTCCGCCTTTCTCATTTACGTGGGGGAGTTCTGCATTTCTGCATGAGGTTTTGTTTGAAGAATACATCTTTTCTTTTAAAAAAAAAAAAAACAGTAGTTAAAGACTACTGTGGGGCAATATATGTAACCTTAACACTTGTACCCCCATAATACGCTAAAATAAAAAAGATAAATAAATAAAGACTACTGTGGGTGAAGATGACAATTCTTTGCCTCTGTTTTGTAGTGAGTCGTACTGGAACAAATCAAGTATGTGTGTGTGATCAGGGTGAGGGAATCATGGAGAAATTTGGAGGCATCTACCTGAGCCTCAGTCTTGGCTACACAGGACTCTGCCCCCTCTTCCCTCTCAACATTTACAGGCTATACCGAAGTGATTTGATTTAGTCTGTCTTAATTTAGATAAGGAGTTGGAATTATTTTTTCTGAAAAAGGCCAGATCACAAACAGTTTAGGCTTTGTGGACCATACTATCTGTGTTGCAACTACTCAACTGCTGTTATACCACAAAAGCAACCATAGACAATAAATTTAAAAAATGAGAGTATTTGTGTTCCAATAAATCTTTATTTGCAAAATGGATAGTGGACCAGTTTTGGCCTGTGAGCTGTAGTTTGCTGATCCCTGATTTAGACTGTAAATAGGAACAGTGTTTGTTTTGCCTTCATGTGTCTGCTGCCTACCACTGTATTGGCACATAGTTGGGTTTGGCTTAGGCAACATCTGCTGAGGTATACTGAGGGTCAATTGTGTAAGTGCTAGAAGATCTTACTGAGTAAAACAACTGGAAAGAGACTCATCCCGTATTTCCCAAGGAGTTTCTATAGGTTGTTTAACTGTTTCCCTATGTTTAGGATGTTTCCAATTTTTTATTATTTATAATCATAATGTGATGAGCTCCTTCATGCAGAAACTATTGGCCTCGTTTCTTATCATTTCCTTAGTGTAAATTCCTAGAAGAAGAATTTACTGGGTCAAACAGTATATATTGCTAAATTGCTTTCCAGGAAGATGGTATTGATCTACATTCCTAACAGTAATAAAAGGGATAGATTTATCATACGAAAGGACTTCTTTCAACAGAATGTCATGAATAAAAGTTTTGGCATCCACTTGCATTTCTGTGAATTAGCTCACCGTAAATATAAGTAAATTGGTATTAACTACTAATCATTTTAGCATTCTCCCACACCGCTGTACCAGCATGATTACTAAGGCACGTTGTTTTACCTGTCGGGGCCGCCTAGCCAGCCAGTTGAGGTTACCCTATCGCATGTGTTTCTTGAGCAGACATAGGAACATCTGCTTCCCATTAGAATCAGAGCCTCCGCTATCTGAACGCCTGGCACCAGCCAACCCTGCCCTGATGGACGGAGGCCTCCTCCCTGTGAAATTCACTACCAAATATGTCATCCAGATTACTCATTTCCCTCAGGAAATTTCATTCAGGTTAATACTGGCACACAATTGAGGGTAATTCTTGAGCAATTTCTCCTGTGATGGCTTGCAACGTGTAAAATTTTCCTACAACATGTTGCAAAAATCGCTGGAAAAATTCTGCGGCTATCTCATAGCTGTCCATTCGCCTTTGTAACAGCAAGAAATATCTCTTTGGAAATGCAGTACGTGATGAGCAAAAAAACATAAAAATGTCAGATCGGGGAGCAGATGTTTTTTCTGGCCTCTCTCAGTGGGTGCTGTTTGGGCAGGGAGAGTGTAGAAACCATGCAAGGTGTCCTGCCTTTATAGTGAATCTTGGTCTTTCGTGGGCTCTTCAAATGTTTCTGAGTTTATCCAAATGAAAAAGAGTATATTTCTAGCTGAGAAGTAATAAAAAGTGTTATAGAAATAGGGGTGGGTCTGGCTAGCTACATAATGATAGGATTTATTTAAAAGTGGATAGATTTCAGACAAAATCAAATATTTAAAGACATTGATAACAAAACCCATCATTTTCTAAGAAGCCACTATATTGTAGCATTCTGTTAAGCACCTTAACATATCTGCCTCATTTGATCCTTCCAACAGTCCTAAAATATTGCACCATCCCTATCCATAGATAGAAAACCACATCCTCACCCCCGGGCTCAGAACAACTCAACATGTCCAAAGGCACCAAAGGTACAGCGCTTGGAAGTGGCAGGGCCAGCAGAAGAGCACAGACCCTCAGCACACGGTGATGACACTTCGGTGGTGGCTCTGAAAGAGTTTGGACATAGGTCAGCACTATTAAGTCATGCCCATCAGCAACCAATCAATCAGCCTCCTGATTGATTCTGATTGACTGAGTTCTGAACACTGTCCCTAGCAAGATCTGGATGGTGGTGGAAGTGTTTTCAGCACTGACCCCAGAGAGAACTGACCCATCCAGCATCACACAGCAAGCCAGGGACCAAGCCAGGAGGACACGCCAGGTCCCCTGGTTCCTGGTCCAGCATTCTTTTCCATCATTCCAAACTGCTTTTCCTGATAAATGACATCAGCCTCACCTACCAATTACACAGCTGTATTCTGGAGGAAAATATTGGCTGCTTTAAAGAAAGTAACAGTACATGATCTATACATATGATAATATGTCACAGAGCTATACACCACAAAAGTGCATATAAAATGGCAAATCCAAATAAAATCTGTTCCTGAGTTAACAGTATAATAGTGACACCAATGGTGTACATGGCTTTGACAATGCGCTGTAGTCATGTGAGGCATTATCATCAGGGAAAGCTGAGTGAAAGGTCACTGAAACCATACTGTTTTCACTATTTCTTGTGAGGCTTAAGCTGTTTCAAAATAAAAAGTTCTAACAATGAGGAGAGTAACGTAATAGGAAGATGGGCTAAAATATGTCTTCACTTACCATGTTGTAAAGACCAGTGTTAAAACAGCCACTGTAGGAGAGATGCATAATGCGGTTTGTCCTTCAAGATACTGGAAGAGAAGAAGGACATGGTCACTTCTGGGCCAGGCTCTCTCTAGTCCCCTGTGGTAACCATGCCTTGAACATGTTCCCCTGCTCCTCGGTCACTGCCACCAGCCACTCCTTCAACAAAGATAGAGCCCTCAGCCCGTCCTCTGATCCTTTGGCCTCCAACTTTTACACAATGGTTAAAAGCATAGATTTGGGTTTGGGGCCTGGGTTCAAATCCCAGCTCCACCTCTTACTAGTACTGTGGCCTTGGGCAAGTTACCTAACCTCTCTCCTAAGTCTTAGTTTTCTACAGATTTCAGCAATTTCACAGATGACTTTCCTAAAAGAAAATAAGAACAAATTAAATCTTAATTTTAAAAAATTTAATCTTAATTCAATGAGAACAACATATTCAGAGGAGTTAGAATATACCAAAGACCCTATAAATGTTAGACAGGATGATGTTGTGGAAGATGACAAGGAGGAGGGTGAGGACGGTCACAAAGGCCGTTCATTTTGCATCCTAAGCATCTCTCATCTCCTCTGCACTCAACCCCCATCCTCGACTTTAGTCTAGGATGTTGCAACATCCTCCAGACTGTACATACCCAATGTGAATTACCAGCTTTCTAAAGGAGACTTGATCCTGTCCCCACATGACACAGAGAAGACAGGCATTCCTCATTGCCTGGTAGCTTGTGATTATCCAGTATGTCTAATCGCCCCTGTTAGACTCAAATTCCTAGAGGTAGGACCTGTGTCTGGCGCAGTTTGGGAGTTCCCAGATGACCTGCCTAGTGTAGTCACTTGAAAATGTCAGTCATGAAATATATGCTTATCTGTTTAGATCTTGTCATAGCTGTCCTTCTTGTCACTCAGATCCTGATCCAAAGATCATTTCCTCAGCCTTGCCCTCCCAGATACCCAGTCTAAATTGTCCCTCATTATATCTGATCTTCATAAGAAGAGAGGGGCCAGTTGTCACATATATAATTTGCCCATGGCCTCAGAGCTAAAAATTAAGATCTTGAAAGCATGTTGTCTGCCCAGTGCTCATTCTAGGGCTGTCCTGCTGCTCTGTGCAGTGGGAGTGGGGAATGTGGTAACTCCATGGCAACTCAGTCTCTTAGAGGCCTGGGCAGCCTCTAGAAACTAGAAGGTGCTGCAGTAGTTTCTGAAGAAACTGTTGGTGGGTTCTGAGGAGAGAAGATGTCACCTTTAGTTCTCAGCATCACTCGTGCAGCCATATGGTTTACTGAAGCCAACCTTCGGGATACTTGGACGTCTACTGGGAAAAACTGCCGCACTCTTCCCTCCCCATATCTAGATCCATCCAGAGTTACCATACAGTGCAGGAAATCTGGTAGGGGAATCCATCAAATTATGCAGAACATTTTAATATAATATCTGATTCGTGAGATCAAGTAACATTTTGTCTGCATCTGTGGTTGTCTAGAGTGATCCATATTTGTGCAATTTCCTTGTGATAATCCCACTAACTGGGCTGGGACTGGGGGTTGATGTGATGTCCCATCTTTGGTGACTGTCGTTCATTCTCGAAATATCCGTTACAGCCTATTTATAGGAGAGTGACTCGCTGGACCGCTTATTCTCCCCACTCTAAGTAGGGCCCATTCCACACTGCAGCCAAAGTCATCATCTGGAAAACAAGTCTGAGGAAGGCCCTCCCCTTCTTCAGACATCTGGTGGTTGCCAATGCCATGGGGTAGAATTCTAACTCTTCACCCTGGCAGACAAGATTCTTGACAAACTCAACTGAATTCTCCAGCTTCATTTTATCCCTCCTTGCAACTCTGCACTTCAGCCTTGGTTTTCTGTGAACATGCTGTGTTCCTTCCTGCCTTTGTACACAGCATTCCTTTTACCTGGAGGACCCCTGAGAATGAGCTCAGTCTGGGCCATGTTGAGTCCAGGGGTAGGAGGAATGGACCGGAGGCTGGGAAAGGGGAGGAGGGGGAGATGTCACGAGACAGGGTGGGGGCTGGGTGCTGACCTACTTTCCTGTCCATCTTCTCCACCAGCCACATTTTCTTTATCCATTCATGACTTAATGGGCACATAGGTTGATTTCATGTCTTTTCAACTGTTAATTGTGCTACAATAAAGATTTCAGTACAGGTGTCTTTTTTATGAAATGACTTCTTTTCCTTTGGGTAGATACCCAGTAGTGGGATTGCTGGGTCAAATGGTAGCTCTACACTTAGTTCTTTGAGGACTCTCCATACTGTTTTTCATAGAGGTTGTATTAGTTTACATTCCACCAACAGTGTATGAGCATTCCCTTTTCACAGCATTTGTACCAACGTCTATTGTTTTTCAACTTTTTAATAATGGCCATTCTAACAAGGGTAAGGTGGTGTCTCATTGTGGTCCTAATTTGCATTTCCCTAATGATTAGCAATGTTGAGCATTTTTTCATATGTTTATTGGACATTTCTCTATCTTCCTTTGAAAAAAAAATCTGTTCACCCACCACTTTTTGATGGGGTTATTTGGTTCTTTTTGCTGATTTGTTTGAGTTCTTTGTAGATTCTGGATATTAGCACTTTGTCAGATGTACAGTTTTCACATATTTTCTCTCATTCTGTAGGTTGTCTGTTCACTCTGTTGATTATTTTCTTTGCTGTGCAGAAAGTTTTTAGTTTAATTAAGTCCCATTTATTTATTGTCATTGTTGATATATTTGCTTTTGGAGTCTTAGTCATGAATTCTTTGCCTAAGCCAATGTCCAGAAGAGATTTTATGGCATTTTCTTCTAGAATTTTTATGGTTTCAGGTCTTTAATCCATCTTGAGTTAATTTTTATATTTGGTTCAGTTAGAATATTGCCTTGACTACACAGGTTCTACTTTCTAAAACCCTGTTGGTAGTGGCATTGTTTTGTTTGTTTCAGCACAAAGGAGAATCCAAGGGGTGAGAATATAGAAATCATCCACAAAAAAACCCCCACAAAAAAACATTTTGCTTATTTTTCTGCTAAAATGGGCATAGGGCAGGGGCAAGAAATATTTAAGGGAGGAGAAATACATAGCAAGCATGGCATTTGGAAAGACTAATCAGAGTGTATAAACATATTGAGATGATACCCTATTATTGTCAGAAATAATGTTTTACAGAGAAGCTATTTGTGAAGAGACCAGTTATTACTGATGGACAGTGCACTCAGGAATATGGAAGCAATAAGGCAGAATTATATTGCCTGCAGAAAGATGGCAATCAAGGGTGAAGTTAGAGGGGAAAGAATGAACACTTTTGGATTTGACTTGTAGTACTCATGGCACCAGACCCAGAGTTGTATAACAAAATCAAAAATGGACTTTGAGTGGTTTGCTGATCACTTGGTCCCTAAGATGTGGTCTGACAATTGCTCTTAGAATTCAAGAACCCAGACAAGCCTGTGATTTAATGAACATGTGTCTCAAATTTTAGAATACCTTTCTGATTTCAAGTATCTTTCCATATCCTCATAACCCAGTGAATAATCCTGTCATGCCAATATTTCATTGTCCAAACTCCAGTCTGTTCACTTCCACCTGCCCACAGAAATGTGACAGAATGCTCTGTTCAGAACATGAGTCCCAACTTGAGATTCAGGACACATAATCATGAATTCTATGGAATCAGAAGTGGGAAGCTCCAGAAGTGGGAAAAGATTCCATGAAGATCATTCTATCCCATTCCAAAGTTTAATGTTTTATACAAAATAAAATTGCTCCAACAGAAACATGAATGAGGAGGGGGAAGATAAAGCCAAAAGATCTTAGAATGAGTAATGAGGAGATTCTTTTGGAGGGAAATTCAGGAAAGTCAGAATTCTTCTAAATACTGATGAGACTGGCTGTACAAGGAATGCTCCCCAACTTAGAAGCTAATCATCGGTTTTTTGATGTTTCTGGCCCTTGCTCACCCTTACCCTTCTACTTCAGGAAAAGTGCTTTGGGGTAACCAAGCAAAAGTCTTGCTGCTCAACTCTGCAGTGCCATGGCTACCAGTGGAGGGTCAGTTCTCAAACCAGTTCTCAAGCCAATGATAACCAGTCAGTTCTCATTTTATTCAATTTCCTAAGAAACTGGGCCAGCAAACACTGCTTTTGGGGGGTACTTTGCTAAGTGTTTGTGGTGTCTGTGATTTAGAACAGAAGACCTGGGGGTAAATGCCAATTTTAGGTCATGGTTCTAAAAAGATTTTTCATGTAAAAATCCCAGCATGGACCATCCTCTCTTCTCCCAGAGTGCAATGGGGATTTGCAGAACAACTTCATTGTCCAACCTGTGTAAATAAATTTCTAGCCCCCCACATCCTCCCTATTCTTTTTCCCTATTATTTCTTTCTTGATCATTTGCCACCACCAAACACACTCTGTTTTATTTGCTTGTCTCATGCACTGTCTGTGGCCCCTCACCCCACTCCTAGAATGTATATTTCATGAATAACTAGAAAAGAAGGTTCTTGCCCAGAGTAGGTACTCCGGGAATATCTGTTGAGTTTCCAAAGTAGCGTGAACTTCAGAAGGAGGGGCAGGAGGAAGGTCAGTTCGAGTCCCGCCCATTGATCTTCAGTCGTCCCTTCTCTCATCCTTCCCCCAGATGCTCCCAATACATGCTACAAGAGTCTTTTGTTTTCTACCTCTTTACAGAGCATTGGCTGTGACGACTACCTAGGCTCCGACAAAGTCGTGGACAAATGCGGGGTGTGTGGAGGTGACAACACTGGCTGTCAGGTCGTGTCGGGCGTGTTTAAGCATGCCCTCACCAGCCTGGGCTACCACCGTGTTGTGGAGATTCCCCAAGGAGCCACAAAAATCAACATCACTGAGATGTACAAGAGCAACAACTATTTGGGTAAGTTTGGTCTTTTTCCAGAGAAAGCCATCTGTCACTGCCAGTTGATTTATTCCTTCCAGAATTGTGAGATAGACACAGCAGTGTCCAGAGGTCCTGGGCACATAGAAAGTGGAGAATGCCAAGGTACCACCTGGCTTGCCTGAGCAGCTTGCATAGAGAAAGTAAAAAAAAAAAAAATTCATTTCAGAATATTGCAGGGGTACAAATGTTTTGGTTACATGGGTTGCTTTTGTACTGCTTAAGTCAAAGTTGTAAATATGCCCATTACCCAGATACTGTACATTGCCATTAGGTATGTTTTCATCCATCCCCTCCTTCCTGCTCCTACCTACATGATTTCCATTGAGTTTTTCTTCTACCTGTGCATGTGAGTGCCAATCAGTTAGTTCCAATTTAATAGTGAGTACATGTGGTGTTTATTTTTCCATTCTTGTGATAGTTCACTTAGGAGGATGGTCTCCTGTTCCATCCAGATTGCTGCAAAAGGTATTAATTAATTTTTTATGGCTGAGTAGTACTCCATGGTGTACATATACCACCTTTTATTAATCCACTCATGAATTTATGGGCACTTGGGTTGATTCCACATCTTTTTTATTATGAATTATGCTGTAGTAAACATTCTAGTGCAAGTGTCTTTTTGATAAAATGACTTTTTTTCCTTTGGGCAAATACCCAGTAGTGGGATTGCTGGGTCAAATGGTAGGTCTACTTTTAGTTCTTTGAGAAATCTACATACTATTTTCTATAGAAGTTGCACTAGTTTGCATTCCCACCATCAGTGTGTAAGTGTTCCTTTCTCTCTGCATCCACACCAATATCTCTTGTTTTGGGACTTTTTGATAAAAGCCATTCTCACCAGGGATAGGTGATAGCTGATAAATGTTTTGATTTGCATTTCTCTGGTGATTAGTGATAAGCATTTTTTCATATGTTTATTAGCCATTAGTCTATCTTCTTTTGAAAAGTTTCTGTTCATGTATTTTGCCCACTTTTTAATGGAGTTGTTTGATTTTTTTCTTGCTGATTTGCTTGAGTTCTTTGTAGACTCTGGTTATTAGCCCTTTATCACATAAATAGCATGCAAATATTTTCTCCCATTCCATATATTGTCTATTTGCCCTTTTGATTATTTTATTGGATGTGCGGAAGCCCTTTAATTTAATCAAGTCCCATTTATTTATTTTTGTTGTTGTTGTGATTGCCCTTGGGGTCTTCTTCATAAATTCTTTGTCTAGGCTGATGTCTAGAAACAAATCTGGAGACATCACTTTACCAGACTGTACGCTATACAATAAGGCTATAGTAACCAAAACAGCATGGTACTAGTACAAAAATAGAGACATAAACCAATGAAACAGAACAGAGAACCCAGATATAAAACAATCCACATATTGCCATCTCATCTTTGACAAAGTAGACAGCAACATACACCAGGGAAAAGAATCTCTATTCAATAAACAGTGCTGGGAAAATTGGATAGCCACATGGAGAAGAATAAAACAGGATCCATATCTCTCACCACTCACAAAAATGTTTTAATATCAATACATTTAAACCAGCCTTTGCTCCTCCTAAGAGATACATAGTTATGAAATGGGTAACAGACCAAATTGTTGCTCTGAGATGGGAGAGGTTCTTTGCAAAGCCAGGTGATCTGCCAGTGTTGGCTCCGTTGGGCTTTGAGGTGGCCAGGGACGGTTGGTCCCATCTGCACTTTCACTCCCCAGAGGTCTAATGCAAAAGTCATTTTTCTCTTCTTTATGCTTCATCTGCCTGGGGCAACAGGCCTCTAGATTCATAGTGCACGTGTCTTCGGAACAGCTGTAGAACCCCTTGGCAATCATTTTGAACATATGATCGATAAGGAGAGACCATTTTTAACCTACTTTCCTACAAAAAGAGATCTGTGTTGATATTTTCTTTTAAGTTTCCAAGCTTTGCATTTCATCCAATGCAAACCAGTCATACAAATTAGTTTATACAAATTTCTAATTCATGTAAGCATGAACAAGTAAGCTAACAAAACAATCTAAGGGAGCCATTCCTTAAAGTCATTTAATGAACAGCAGTATTCATTTTGATTTTTTAATTACGTATTGAACAGAAACTTAGCATAAACTATGTGCCAGGCATTATTCTTAATGTTTTCTGTGTATTAAATCTTTGAACCCTCTCAAGAGCCCTAGGGCATAGGAGCTGTGCTTATCTCCATTTTACAGGTAAGGAAACAGACACAGGGAGATTATGTAACCTGCCAAAGTCCCACAGTCGTAAAGAGGTAGAGCTGGGATTCCAACCCAGGCAGTCTAGTTGCAAGTGTGGTAGTCTGTCAAGAGATAATACCCACACGCAGTCTCAGAACCCAAGTTGCTCTGGCACACCATTGGCCATGCTGTAGTTAGTGGCTGCAACAGTTGAAAGTCCATGAAGTTTGCAACTTTCAAATATCTGGAACGTCCCGGAAGATAACCGCAGACCCAAGAACTCCATATTCTGCATCTCTTTCTTCTTCACCCAGAAGCAGCCAAAACTAACTTCACCTGGTTTTATTGGCTGGAGAAGGAAGGGATGGCAGATGGGATTCTGAGATAAACCCAATTAAAATAGAAAACTGTTACAATTGCTCTGGCAAACCCGGGAGCCGCCAGTGGCAGAAAGCCTAGTTTCCCAGTGAGTGCTTTGTATGTTATTTTTAATAACAAAAAATAGTCTTTGTGTGTTTCCTCCTTTCTTTTGTACTATTATGAGATCACACCTCCATAAACATCCTGTCTCCTAGAATGGAAAATGTTCTTCTGGGGACTATTTGAAGTGTGATTATGTCCAAATGTACCAGCAAATAATGCCACTTCTCATTAGCATTGTGTTGTTTTTAGTAATTTTCCCCTGGCTATAGTTAGGCCTATTCAGTAAGCAGTTTTCAAGCTGTGCCCACTGAAGATAAAATAGGTGTCCTGGGTGAATATCCAGTGGATGTCTGAATACAAACAGCTCTCAGAGCCTTGGTGTTTCGTCTGGAGTGTGGGAATAAGAATCTTGACCTTATCCGTAGTCACGAGAATCAGTAGGATGACAGCTGTTTAGGACCCAGCAGAGCCCCGACACTCATAGGCAGTTGGCAAATGTTTGTTCCCTTTCTCTTGTCTGAGAGCTTGTCAGGACATCAAAACTTTGTGGAATAAAATTCCCTCTATCCCTGAAAAAGAGGAAGAGGAGACAGAGGGAAAATGGATGTACCAAGAGTCAACGGGGAGGTGATTCAGAAAGTCATGTTCAACGTCCAATGCCCAGAAATCAGTAGAGCGCATGAGAAATCCATAGGTCCATGGGAATGCTCCACGATGCCACGTGGACAGAGGAAGGAGACAGAGCAGAAACAGTAGAGCAGGGCCTGGTGAAAGGAGGTGCAGAGGGATGAACGTGAGCTTCTGTCTGTAGCACTTAAGTCACAGGCGATGCACTGTTTAGTCCTCTCTTTTTAAAAGTTGAGATATGATTCATGTACTGTGAGATCTATCCTTTTAAACTGTACACTGGCCAGCACGGTCTTTTTCTCCTCGCAGGACTTCTCTTTATTTAACCTACTTTTCCTGCTGAATCTCCTGCTCTTTGAAGTCTATATATTTTTTAAGTTAGTGTTTATGAGATTGCTTGAGATTATCTGTAAGCCATTAGAGCATAGGTATATCTAGCAATTTCTGAACTCTCTGGCAACTTTTTTACATTATACGTTGTCAAAGACTGAAACCTTCTCCAAAGAGATATGTGATGGGTTTTTCTCCACAATTTTCCAGGTAATGATGAAGGTTTCAGTTTTCTCACCTTGTGATTTCTGGTGCTATGTAAACTATATTTTCTATAAAATTTGACTTAATACACAAAATTGGCTCACCCATTTGCATAAGTTTGTTCTGCAGAATAGGCAACATAAAGGAAATGAATAGTTCAAAGCCATATCATTGCTTTTAAAAATTGCACAACTTTACAAGTTTTTGTGTTGTCCTGTTGTTTTCCAGAATTACCTTTAGTTATTTGTAATGCAAATCCAACTTTCCTTGTGAAATACTTGGTATTTTTTAAAGACTGACTGCCCAAATGGGATAGCAACAGAAAATAAATTTATGTGAAAACAGACTGCAGTGCTAGAGAAAATGATTTAATCACCTCATTTTAAATGATTTTCTAAAGGCTTCAATATTTAAAGGACTTACCCTCAGCAACTCAGTTAATAATAGCAGTCATATATACATACATACATAGTACTTCAGTCTCCCAAGCATTTTCACATACATGGTTTTCTGACTTTAAAACTGAACATTATTTACTTTGCTTGCTTCAGAAAGGATTTGGAGTTCCTTACAATTATATAAGATGCAATTATAGAGGTAAGATGCGAAAATTGAAATTTAAAAATCCAAAAGTAAATAGAAGAAGGAGAGGCATATATCCCAGAAATCCCAGCTGATATGTTGATAGTGTTGGTGCATTAAACCCAACTCTGAATTTATGGCTTAATTTAGTTTGACCATCAAGACTTGGCCTGTTAGACTCAGATTCTAAACGCCTGAGGTCTGGCCCTGCCCCATAACTCCGGAGGACTGCCCTGTGCAGAGCTGGGGGGAGAGGCCAGTTCACCATGATGTTTACTGTCTTCTCTGAGAAAAGCTGGAGAAACCATGACATTTAACAGTACACATATTTCAGAAGATAAGATGTTTATTTGTCTCATGTTAGTTTGGAAATTCATAAAACTCTGTAGAACTGAGCTCCAAATTTCTGTTCATTTGAATTTGTTTACATGCTTCAAAATGAAGATTGTTTAGTGGGTTCTAGATTACTAGATTTTTTTTTAATGGGAAAGACTTTAGGACCCTATATCTGTTAGAAGCTATGAATTCTCTTTTTGAATGTGAATTATTCTGAACTCTGCAATTTGGGAAAAAGACTCAAATTAATTTTATTAAAATAACTGACATTTTGTATTACTTGCCCCTTTCTTAATAATAAAATGTTATAAAATCATTTTAGCTGAAATCAAAGTTTGGCATAGTTCAGTCAGTTCACTTTACTAATGTCATTATGCAACAGTTAAAAAATCAGATATAAAAGCATACCAAGTAAAAACTAATTATACAAGACATGTACTACCTACCAACATGTTACGTTGTCATAGAGTTTTGGACTTGGAAGGAATTTTTAAAGATCTGTAAGCTTTCAAAAATAAACAGGCAATACATTTACTTTTTAAGTATGTTCTCCTAAAAGTTTTAAACAATGATAATGGTTAGCATTTAAAAAATCATGAAGTATCACAGATCATCTGTAATTTGCAAACTTTAATATATTCATTGAGCAGTTTTCTACATGGGAAAAATTGAAATTTTAAATAATGTTATATCTTATGTTTGTATGACATTTAATCCCAAGGATTTTTTTCATATGCATTATAAAAGTTTCAAGCAGTGTGGACAATATAGAACAAAAGGTAAAATTTCCTCTTTATGCCAACTCTATACTTGATCCACTGCCTTCAAGGTAAAGACCACTTAAAGTTAAACAAGTACTTTTACCAGTAGTTCTTTGTGTAAGTGCAAATAAATATATATTTTTAATTGATATTACTATATACATTTTTTACAATTTGCTTCTCTATTTTAATATAATAGCTTGGGCATCTTTTCTTTTAATATCAAAACATAGAAAGCATATTCATTATTTTTTTGAGTGTAGAATATTCCATATAACAGATATAATATAATTTGTATAGGTACTTTCCTAATGAAGGATGTTGAGATTGTCTCTAATTTTCTAATATTACAAATCATACTTTAGATTTTGGGATCAAGATGGCAGACTGAGCACATGAGTTTTTCTTCCCTTCCTCCTAAGATTTCATCAAAATGATACTAAAGGGATTTAAAAAAAAAAAGAAAGATATAATTTACAACCACCAAGAAGACTAGAGAGGGCGACATCAGTGGACAAATGATTTTAACAAATTTTTGGAAGACAGAAAGCAGATGGAAGAATGTTCACTCACAGAGAGAGCAGAGGGTGCTGGGATGAGGAGGGCTCAGGCTGCAAGGCAGAGCCCCAGGAGCCTCTGAGCCTGGGTGTCAGCAGGTAAGATGGAGAGAAGCAGAGGAGAACGGGACTGGAAATAGGGGCATGAGTAAGAAAACCTGTCTATGGAAGAGGAGCCCCCACATACACATTCAGAATGCTGGCATTACCTCCTCTTCCAGAAACTCAGGGGAAGTAGGGCATGGGTGAGAGGTTGGCAATATTCATTCTGGGTGGAGAAAGAAGCCCCGTTCTCTCACTCCATAGACCTTGGCCTGTTAAGAAGCCCTGATGATATGCACAGGGTTCTCTGGAAGCCTTCCCATCGCTTTTGTCTTAAATATCAATGGATAACTGAAAATAACATGAATGGACAACCATGGATCACCAGACATTTTTTTTAAAAGCCCATATAGCATGAAAGAGAAAGCCCAAGATAAATAAGTGGAAAAGTTGTTTCTGGAAGAAACACAGCAAATTCTTGGAGAAGAAAACTTAAAGAAAGCATTACTCCAACAAGTAATTCTTCCATGAATATCCTAACATGTATATCCTTTCATACTTATGTAAATATTTCTGTAGGGTAGACTCCTAGAAGTAGAATTTGTAGGTCAAATGGAATGCACACTTAAAATTCTGAAAAATAAAGCAAAATTCCTTTCTATAGTCATTACACCAATTTATACTCCCACCAAAAGTACATGAAAGAACTCTTTCTCCATGCCCTTACCATAATTAAATATTATGAATGTACTTCATTTTTAGCATCACTTTTTTGTTTGCCTTTTCATGACCACTAATTTTTATTATTCTTTGAGCTATTTCTATGAATTTGCCATTTTTCAATTGTTTAAGAACTCATGTATGTTGTGAGTAATAGCCATTTTCAGCTCACATCTATTGAAAATATTAGTCTTTATCTTGTGTTCCAACTCTGATTATGGTATCTATTACTCTGTAGTGAAAAATTTTAATCTTTATTTAGTCGAGTCTGTCAATCATTTCTTTTATGGCTGGTTTTTTCTTACTTAGGAATTCCTGCCCACACCCAACATTATTAAATTATTCTCTAATATGTTCTTCTATTACTTTTATAGTTGTAATTTTTATATTTAGATATTTAATACATCTGGAATTAATTTGTGTGTGTGGCATGAGGTAGGAATCCAACATTCTTTTTCTAAATAGACAGTTGACCCAACATCAGTTATGAAATTTCCCCCACTAACTTGAAGTGCCATCTCTAACACACCTTAAGTACTAATATGTAAGATACGCTTGTAGATTCTCAGTTCAGGTTCGTTGATCTATTTGTCTCTTCTGCTTCAGTACCCTATTGTTTTCATTGCCATAGTTTTGTCATGTGTTTTATTCTTCTGTAGTTCACCTCTCTGCCTCCTCCTCAATTTCCTACCCACTTTATTCTTTTCCTAAATTTTCTTGGATATTCTTATACATTTGTTCTTCTAAACATACTTTAAAATCAACTTGTCAAATTTCATAAAAATTTTGTTGAGATTTTGATTGGGATTATGTTGAACCTATGGAAAAATGTGAGACCGAAAAAAATATCCTCACAGCATTGCATCTGTCAGTTCAGTGATAGTATGTCTCCTATTTTATCTTATTTAATAAAGTTCCTTAGGTCAGGCACAGTAAATCACACCTGTAATCCTAAAACCCTGGGAGGCTGAGGCAGGAAAATTGCCTGAGCTCAAGAGTTCAAGAGCAGCTTGAGCAAAAGCAAGACCCCATCTCTACAAAAACTAAAAAAATTAGGTGAGCATCATGGTACACCTGTAGTCTCAGCTACTCAGGAGGTTGAAGCAGGAGGATCACTTGAGCCCAGGAGTTGGAGGTTGCAGTGAGCTATGATGACACCACTGCACTCTACCTGGGGTGACAGAGCCAACTGTCTCAAAAAAAAAGAAAAAGTATCTTTATCTAGACTTTGCATATGTTTTATTAGGTTTATTCCTAAGTATTTTGTAATTTTTGCTAATATAGTATATGACATCTTTATTTCCATTATATTTTCAATTAGTCATGCTGGTGAATATGAAATCAGTTTATTTTATATATTTATTTTTGTATCTGGACATCTTACTAAACTCTTTTAATATTTCTATTAAATTTTCACTTGTTTCATTTGGATGTCCTAGATGGCCAATCATGATATCTATAGGCAATAAAAATGTTATCTTCTTCTCAAGTATTCTACCTCTTCTTTCTTTCTAGTCTTGTTGCACTTAGAGTCTAAGACCTCTAAAAAATTTTGGAATAATCATAATGATACTAGGCTTCCTCATAATGTTCCTGAAAATGAGAATGCCTCTAATAGGTGTTTGCTTAGGTTTCTGATAGATATCTTTTATCAAAATAAGGAATTTTATTTCTGTAACTAGCTTTTAAGAATTTTTATTGGAACTTTCCCTTGTTTTTGTTTTCTCCTGAATGATGATTGATTCTTAATTGTCTGATGATTGATTCTTAATTGTCAATATAAGTTAAGATTGATTCTTAATTGTCAATTTAAGTTAATGGATAGTTGCATATTATAGCTACATTAAGTAGGTTTCCTCCAAAGTCACCTTCCTCTGTTTTTGCAACAGGCCCTTCCTTCAAATGGAGCAGACCCCGGTATTCTGCTGGGCTGCTTGTCTCTCAGTTTCCTGCAAGTGTGCACGGGCCAGGGGCGGACAGGCAAACAGACACAAAGTCACCATCCCTGAAGAGGTATTTGAGGATTCGATAGGATAGTAAACACGAATTACCTAGCATGACATTGAGTTTAATACATATTTTCCCTACCTTATTCCAAGGCTCCAATATTTATCAGTGACTGCTTAGCAAAACTCTTAAGCTTTCCTTGCAACAGCTAAATAGAAACAGCCTTCTCTTCTGCCCCACTGCCAGAAGCCTCCAGGATTATGCCAGCCCAGGTGTAAAAGTGTGTACCTTTCTTCTCAGACATCAAAAGCCCACCTGATTTAACTTTATTGCTCCAGTTGTGTGTCCTTATTGCTTCTGCACCTACCTGTCTCTCTAGGAGTCCTTCCTTTCCCAGAAGAACAAAAAAAGAAACACAAGTAGGCATGCTTTTTGGTTTTTTTTTTTTTGTTGCGTTCTTTTTATTCGGAGGTTGTTTGTTTGAGTGTATAAATGTGTAGTGCCATGTTGACGCCTTCCCCCTAGGACTGTGTCTGGTGCTCTGAGTGGTATTTCTCTGCTTTTGCTCCCATCTAGTCTCCAGCTCTGGCTCTGTCTTCCATTGGCATCGGCCTTTGCAGAGCTGCCATTTCCAGCTGGGATGCCTCGGACAAGTTCCTTCCTATCTGAGATGCAGTTTCCCCATAGGTAAAATAGGAACACAAATATAATTTCGTAGAACTATTAACTTTAAATGAGATCATGTAGCTAAAATACCTAGCATCTTCATAACTGTTAGCTCCCTTATCTCTGTGGACCCGTGCTGCACGCTGGAATCATGGGAGGCACGCCCGAAATATGCGGACGGCCGGGTCCCACCTGCACATCTCATTGGTCTGGGGCACAGCCTGGGTCTCAGGATTGTTTGAGCTCCTCAGGTAAGATTCCAGTGTCCCTTCAGGACAGAAGGCCCATTTCCCTATGTCAGCAAGTCTCAACGCGGGGCCATTTTGCACTGCTCCCCGGTACATTTGGCAATGGCTGGCGGCATTTTGTCCCAACTAGGCCAGAGGGAGAGGCAGGCGCTACTGGCAGCTGGTGGTAGCGGCCGCCAGGGGCGCTGCTGAGCATCCCACGGGCCGACGGAGAGTTGTCCAGCCCCAAGCCTCGGGTGCTGAGGAGAGAACCCCGGCCTGTGTGATCCCTATGATCCCTTTCGGTGCGGGAGTTTTATGGGTCACTGACTTCAGAGTGGCGTTTAAAACGTAATGGCAATAAATACCTAAGGAGCTGTTGGAATGACTTTGCTCTCCCGTTAAGTTTGCGTTCATCAGCTCGCTGGGAATTCCCAGCTCCCGCCGGAGCCCCGTTCTCTCCCCACGTCTCGCGGGATTTGTGGGCGGCGGCCGGGACGCCGCTGCGCGGCTAGGGCCGCTTAGAGCGCGGGCGCGCAACCTGCCGCCTGGCGTGTGGACTCCTTTCTTGCTTCCCTCAGACGTGGCAGGAGAAGAAAAGTCAGGAAAATGGAAAGGCAAAGAAAGTATTTATAGATTTTTCTTGGGATTCTCATAGGACTTTTTTAATTTTTTTGAGACAGAGTCTCGCGTGCGGGGTGCGGCCTGGTTGGGGGGCGCCCCGAGACCCCGACACCCCGAGCCCACCTTGACGGTGAGACCGGGCTCACGGTGCTCCCCGCCGCCTCACGGCACTCACGCGGGCGGGCCCCGTGTCAGCACCTGCGTCTCACAGATGGGGACACCGAGCCGGCACGGCTGGGACCTGCCTGCGGCCGCAAGTCGTGGGCGGCGGAGTCAGGACTTACACCACACAGGCCTCGCTCGTGACCTACCTTCCGCGGCCCTTTGTGAGAGAATGCGCTGGGTGTGGGGTGAGGGCGTGTCGCCTCCCTCCCCCTCCACCAGAAGAAAGACGCGTTCCACTTAATTCTTTGCAGTCGTCTTGCCGCCCCCCACGCTGTTCCCGCCCTCCCCCACTATTATTTCAGACTTGATTAAAATCACGTGGCCCGCCCTCACTTTACGACTCCTTGGGCTGAATTGCCATACTCTGTCTTACCAGGGGTCCTCAAGCTTTTTAAACAGGGGGCCAGTTCACTGTCCCCCAGACCGTTGGAGGTTTAAAAAAAACTATGAACAAATTCCTATGCACACTGCACATATCTTATTTTGAAGTGAAAAGGCAAATGGGCAAAAACACCCGCATGTGGCCCGCTGGCCGTAGTTTGAGGACGCCTGCCTAGACGTTCACCATCTCCCCTTGGTAGACTTCTTCTGAAACTAGCTCTTAAAAAGCATAGAACATTATGGGAAATAAAACATCAAGGGTGGTTTCTTTCCTTTTTTTCTTATTGTGGCAAAATATATATAAAACATAAAATGTATTATTTTAATGATTTTAAGTGTTTAATTCAGTGACATTAAATACATTCACAGTGCCATGCAACATCACCACTATCCATTTCCAGAACTTTTTATCATCCCAAAAGCTGCACCCAGCAAGCAGTAGCTCCCCAAACTCCCTCCTCCAAGCCCCTGGTACTCTCTAGTCTACTTTATGCTTCGTGAATTTACCTATTCTAGAAACCCCATGCAAGTGGTATCACACACTCTTTTTCCCTTTGTGTCTGGCTTATTTCACTTAGCATAATGTTTTCAAGATTCATCCATGTCGTAGCGTGTATCAGAATTTCATTCCTTTTTTAAGTGTATACCACGTTTTGTTTATCCATTCAGCTATTGACGGACACTTGGGCTGTTTCCCTCTTTTGACAACTATCTGTCTGCGTCCCTGGCTTCAGTTTTTTCGGCTGTATATATACCTAGGGGTGGAATGGCTGGGTCATATGGTAATTCCATAGTTAGCTTTTTGAGAAACCGCCAGCCAAACCGTTTTCCACAGCGGCTGCACTATTTTATCTTCCCACGAGGGTTCCAATTTCTCCACATCCTCGCCAACACCCCAAGTGTGTTTCTGAAAGAGTGTTTAAGCAGGTGATGTGACAGGCACCAGTCGTCTGCTTTCAGACACCAGGACAAGATGCGGCGATGCTCTTTGTGGCCCTCCGCGGTTACCTGCTGCAGGCCACCGCAGCCCCAGGACACTAACAATCCAAAGTGATATCCCGACTCTTGGCTGAACATTCCTCATCAATGCTGGCAGATGAGAAAGGTGACCGTCGACTGTTTGTTTTTATTTGGACTCAATTCTCGCCTTTTTTTCAGCACAAGCTTATATGGTTCCTGTCCAAAACCAAAGCTTCACAAAACAAAAATCCTTTGCCAAGGAGACTGTGCCCCTCGCTGTGATTTGGAAAGCTGCTGTTGTTTGTTTTAGTGCTCCTGGACTTGATTTCACATTACATACTTTCCACCTGGTGTCTGACAGCACACTTCCCTTTGATTTGGGAAAGCTCTGATGTCCTCACATCTGTCTGCGAGGGCTTTCTTTTCACTTTCACAGTCGCTTTGCCTTGAAAAGCTTTCAGATGCACTAAACCAAACTGAAATCAACTCTACTCAACCCCGCAAGCTCATTGCATTGTCGTTTTGTGCTTGCTGCTTTGTAATTAGCGCCTAGGTACCTTGCAAATGTAAGACTGAGTTTGCCGGTTTGTACTTGGATTTGCCTTTCATTTTGTGGGGAATAGTTATGGGGCAGGTTTTTTTGGTTTTTGTTTTTTGGGTTCTTTCATTTTGTTTTGTTTTTCTTTTAATTGTATTGTCTGTCCCAGAAATATGCAAAAGCACCCACACCTGCTTTTCTACACCTAATGGGATGCTTTCCTCAAATGCAGGAAACAGCTGCTGGGTGACCTGAGTTTTGGGTTTTTATGGAAGTGATTTGACACCTCCAACTCTGCAGGAAGCACATCTCCCAGCCCGCTCTAGGCAGCATCGCCTCCAGACAGCATCTTCCTCAGGGCTGCTAATGGCTCCCAGGCGACCCACCTGGATTAGGGAACTAGCTCAGAGCCCATTATCTGTGTGTCTTGAGTGAATAATGCTGTCCCTAAATCCCCACTTCCCTAACCCACTTGGAAGTGCATTTAAGCCCTCCCTCTTTGAATCAAAGTCTTGCTTTTTGCAACATGTTGAGCTATCACATTAGGGAATTAATACAAGATAAGCCCCAAGAAGAGCCATCTGAGGCTTAAACAACATTTAGTAAATATAGTTGACTTAATGAAAGAGAAGTGACATTTGAGGAAAACAGTAATCTTGAGGCTTTCTTAACCAGCAGCTGGGTCAGACCCCCGCTGCCTCTCCATGATGCTGCTGTCATTGGGGCCTCTCTTGCTTTCTCTTGCTTTTTCTGGAACATGAGAGCTGCCCTCTAAGGTTGCCCCTTCCTCTCTGCCTTCCTGCCGGAGAGGTCCAGCACCCTTTCCCTTCTTCCATGAAGCAGACCTCTGCTCAAATTCTGCCCTTCCTGTAAACCGTGAATTCTTGCTGATAAAACCTTGAAGGGTGGGCTTTGAAGATCAGCCTCCTTTCTCCTCCTTGTGGGCTGCCTTTCTTAGCTCTTCCTTGGCTGTTTTAGCATCAACAGCTCTTAAGAATAGCTTTTGGCATCTCCTAATTCTCCCCTACCCTTTCCCCAAGCCAGAAACCATTCCTTGAATAGAAACCATATAAATGTCAGCCTGGGCAAGACCCACTCCTTCAGTTTGGATTCTGAGTTGATATTCATGTTCCTCCTTGGAAAATACACTTCACATGGCCCTACCCTGTAACTTCCTCTGTGGCCTTACGGTCACACCTATATCTGTTATGCTTGGTGGCAAAATTTGCCTCCTTGTGCAGTATTTATTTTTCCCTCATTATCTAGTATTTTTATAATCTGAACCAGGAACTCATTAGCTTTCTTTGTTAAGGAAGACGTTGTTCTTTATCTGACTTGATATTCTCTAAAGACAGTTTGGGGAAGAGCAACGCAACTCTGGCTCTGTGGCCTGCCCTGGGCTGCTCGACCTCTCGGTGTATCGTTTTCTTCATCAGTAAGGTGAACCGACAGCAATATTTATCTCACAGGGCTGTGGGGAAGCTTAGATAAGATAATACTGGTAAAACACTTAGCACAGTGCCACAAAATACTTACTCAACAAGTATTTTTGTTGTTACCATTATCCAAACTACTCCAAGACTATATGGTTATAAATCCATATATTTCTGTTCTGAGAATTTGTCTGGACAATAAATATCTTTCCAAAAGCTAAAGCCTATTTATTTTCTAACCATATCAAGCCAATAGTCAGTGTCAGCTTTTTTGGCACATGCCCTTATAACTGACAGTGAACTAAGATGGAGAGTTGATTGGGCTGTATCCACTGAATGTGGTGTCCCCTAATTCAGCTCACTGGTTTGAGGGCGTAGCTGGGTGTTGTTCATAGGTGCAGTCGGAAGTTAATCAAGGCTTGTATGCAAGACCTGGGCAAGAATGGCTGTTTGATGTTCTACTTTCAGCATGAACACTGACTTTCTAACCTGTGACACGGTCTGTAAATTGTTACTCAGAGACGCGGAGAACAATGAAATTTCTTCTGGAAGCTGTGAGCCATGGACATGAGCCCTCAGTCTTGTTCAGCATGGGGACCCTCGGAGGCCCTGTGTTACAGAACTCTCCCAGAAGGGGTGGAGACAGGGTTCAATCCAACATCTTTGTGGTCATGCTTAATTCATTGCAGTTAAACAAGTCAAACTGCTCATCACAGAACTTCATCCCCTCTTCTCAAAGAACGAGTGAAAAGAGACGCCTGTTTCAGTGCCAAAAGCCTAACATCCAGCCAGAGCCGTTGGCTGGCCCAGCACTTATTTATTTATTAGATAAGCATTTTATTGAGGAATTAAGTATGAATACACAGGAAAAATCCTTTGTTCAAAATTGTGCAGTACAGCTTGATGAATTTTCACAAGTGAACACGCACATGTAACTAGTACCAGGATGAAGAAATAGAAGTTTATCAGCATCCCAGAAGCCCCTTCCCGGGTCCAGTCTCAGACGCTAACCACCCACCCCCCGCAAGAGGAACCACTGCTCTGTTAAACCATAGATTATTTTTGCCTGTTTTTAAAAGACCTTCTATAAATGGAATAATATAGCTATACTATTAGCTATATTATTTTTAGTATTATATTATTAGTAGTATATGCTATACTATTATTATACTAATAGTATACTATTTTGTATCTGGATTTTTTTTTTTTTTTTTTTTTTTTTTCATGATTTTTAACATTTACCTTCCGGTACACTATAAAATGAGAGGGTAAATTTCTTCCTAATATTTAGCCAATTTTCCAACCCAATTTATTGAGTGGTTCATTTATTTCACATTGGAATGTTTAGAATGTGCTAAGTCGTCATACTTGTCCTAGGTCTGTTTCATGGCTATTTGTTCTGTTCCAATTATCTGTCAAATAATTTTTGTACCGTGCAGAATATTTTGACTGTCTTAACTAGAAAATATGTTTTAATATTTAACGTGGCAAGTCTCCCCTCTTTTGCTTCTTTCTAATAACATTTTTAGATAATCTAGCATGTTCTATTCCAGATAAATTTTGAAACAATTTTGTCATATTCAAGACAAAAAAAAAATCCTATTGATGTTTTCACATGATTGTGTAAAATTCACTCAGTAAACATGTCCTGAGCCCTTACTATGTGCCAGCCTCTGTTCTAGGCCCTGGGGACACCACAGAGAATGGGGGCACACCTGGCCCTGATGATACTGACATTCTAGTGGGGGAGATTGGAGACAAAAGAACAAAAGATAATTTTAGATGGTGAGAAGAGCAATAAAGAAAAT